CCTTTCCCAGAGGTAAAGCGCGGCTAGGGCATGATGCTGACCACTTACCCCCATCTGGTGCTAAAGTCAAGAAAGAGTAGGAGGTATACCTCCGCTCCCCCCAAGTGTCTGCATGGGCATGTAGCAGGACGCTTTACTTTACTTATTTAATTTATGTATGTCACATTTGCCTCCATAGTCATAAACATGATTTATCAAAGGACTCATAAACTCATTTTCACAAAAATGTTTATAAACCTAAATTTTGTTCTGTAAAGCACAAATTGTCTCAGCAGTTAAGTCCATAAATTCCTGCACCAACATAAAAATGTAGTCCCGCTCCATAGCCACGCGGTCTGGGACATTATGCTTTGGACCAGTGATACGGTGAATGGTTCGAGTCTCGGGGAAAGAAATTTCTCATGAGATTTTTGACCGGTGTATGGGGCCGGTGCCAACCTGGCATCGTGAAGAAATTGGGGAGCTACAATGAGTAGCGTAATCCGGTTAGGAAAGCTAGCAATAGCTGGGGGTTTGTCGTGCTGACCACACATCATCCTATATCTGGTTGGATGATCGATCACCTCTGCTTAGGCATGTGAACGTGAGGCCAGCAGTCAAGCTAGTCGGCTTTGGCTCTTAGGGGGCTGTTACACCACGGATTTAATTTAAATATAAAAATGTTGCCATGTTAGTAGTAGACAGCTTGTTTGAATACGTAAACTGAGTTGTTACAGTGGTTTCTTTTTGTTGCAGTTTACTAATAAGAATAGTAGTCATCACCATACTTGGAAAAAAGTTACTTACATATTAACAAGTAAAGGTAATATGAGTGACAAGTGCAGAAGTTAGCACAGTGAACTTTAACAATAGACAAAATTATTTTTTGCTTGTCTTTGAGGAACAAATATTGTTAACCCTCCACTTCTACATAATTTACTAATATACTTCGACAATTAGAATTTTCTTGATAACATTGAAAACAACAGGGAAGTTAATCCCTTAATGAGTAAGCATCCACACATATTTGTATGTTCGTCAAGGCAAGCTGGACAGATTATGTATAAAACTGTTCTTTTGAACTTTGTCCAAATTATCTAAATTATGAAATCATAAAATTACAAAGTTTCAAAAGCTTGATTCTGGTTATGCCAGCAGTTATAAAAGTGGGAAGAGGACAGGTCTCAGGTTAATTCGACAAGGAGGCTAAACAGATAGGCTTTCTGCCCTCTTCACCATTTTTCTCTTGATCAAAGCAGAATCCAGATTCCAAAATGATGTAATTTTACAATTTTATAATTTAGGCACTGGATAAATTCCAAAATAACCATTTTTCTTATTTTATGCAACATCATCATCAGAAACTTTGAAATTTTAACAACTTCTGACATGTAGATGTCTGTCTTCTGGGTTGTAGTGCCATGTAGTCTGGTAGCAGTTTACTGATATTTCAGAGGTCCTTGCTGCCCTGATGATGGAGGCAGCAAGTACCACTGTAATATTTAACAACAGATGCCATTATATTGTAGTGATAGTAGCAAATGTATATGTTACCTTCTATATCAAAGAAAAAAAAGAATGTTCTTACATTTATAACCGTAGTAAAGTATCACTTAGAGCAAAAAAGTTCTAGAAAGTATATAAAATGATCAAAATGTGATGTCGCACTGATAACAACTGTTTAATTGGAAGTGCATATGCAAGGAAAGAGGAGGAATTCCATATGTTCATGGTTAAATTTTACAAATGACATATTTATATACTTAAAATAGGAACAATCATATTAGATATTAGAAATCTGAATGTAGTCATTTCACATTCAATTGTAATAGACTTGGGAATCAAATGACCTGCTGAGTTTAATATGAGACAGAAGATAATTCCATAAATTGTGGAAGTCCTTGTTCTCGGAGCCATAAACGCGTTGCCATAATTTTTATAGATTCATGTTGATATTACGCATTTTATACATTTTGTTTTATAATGAATTTTCTAATTTTTATAGATTCATGTTGATATTACACATTTTAAACATTTTGTTTTATAATGAATTTTCCTTTCAATTATGTTTATATGAAAAAAAAACAGCTCCAAGATTTTTTATTGATTTAAATAAACAATTTGAGTGAAACAAATTGAATCAGTCCGCATACCCCTAGTCCTGTCTAAGTGAAACAATATGGATTTCTTATTAAAAATGTGCAATATGAATGTGCAAAATTACTGGCTCCTTCAGCGCAATAATATATATTATTTTATAGTATGCATTAAGGCCATACATAATTGTAATCCTAAGTGGGAGGGGCAGTTCTCATTGTATGAGCATATTTTCACAGTTAAAAAGTTACAAAGCAGGCCTGTAATCTAAATTCAGCACACTCTAGCTATGAAACTCATTACAAAGTAATTTTTAAGAAAATATGTTACGAACAGCTAACAACAGTGAAATTTTAAATTCCAGTTGAAACTTACAAAACCAAGTGAAGGGCTATCAACAGAAATTTATAAAGTTTTATGTTTATTAAGAATTTCACCAGTGCACAAAACATCATATAAAATATCAGCAATATGATTAAAGTAATCAATTCACTTATTTCTTCCACAGAAATTTTACAGGACTCCCATCACTGTTACATTTTAATAATGTACAAGTTAAATCAACTATTTGCGAACAACTATAAAGACACATTTTTCGTAATTACATTTCAAAAACTAAAAATAAGAAAACTGTTTTACTGTTTGAAAGAATAAATTGTCATCCATACACACATTTAATTGTTTCCCCATTTAATTTAGATATGAAATAAATTAAGAAAACAGTTACAACATAATATGACATTTATAAGATAACATATCAAACTTTCATAGCAACGTTACAATGATATCTTCTTACATCGTGAATTTACCAAGTTTTCTTTCTCTTATTCTGTCTCAATGTGTCTGGATCACTCTTTCATACACAAAGATCTTCATATATGTTGATTTCTTTAGTTCCGGGGCCCTGTTAGTCATACTCGGCTCCAATGGTGATGCTCATCTCGTTTGAAACGATAAGCGTCTGGTGATACCATCGGTTTGTGTCCAACACAACTGCAAACAAATTCAATTCATTAATCATATTCAGTTTTGGTGATGCAAAACTCAAGCCAGAGCAGTCATAACACAATTGATTTGTAAGATTTGAAGTTTTCACAGCGATGAGTCTGAAGATTTATGTCTTCTGGGTTGTTGTGCCACGTAGTCTGGTAGAAGTTTACCAACGTTTCAGAGGTCCTTGCTATCTGTGTCATTATTTCTTTAAGCATAGAGTTATAATTGGAGGTTACACTCCCAAAACATAAAAATTACTAAAAAAATATCACAAATTGACGATTTTATTGCCTGAAAACAAATATGCATGCAAAGGAAATATATTAGATTATTAAATATGCTATGAAAAATACAGCAAAATCTTTCACAGGAAGTACACCAAAGCAGAATGAGCCGGGATAGCTCAGTCAGTATAGTGACTAGCTATGCTGTCTTTGGTCTTTATATCTTTTTTGATAGATCCTGTAAGAACTATTCCATAGTAGCGGGTAAGCAGAATTTTATATACGCAAACTATTTATAAAGTTAAAACATATATCTGAGAAACACGATGAATTGACAAAAAAGTTTCAACAGTATTTGTAGATAGTTTAAATCTCCCATCAAACTTCCAAATTAAAATGGTTTCAAAATTTAAAATATCTCGCACTTTCGACAAATTATTTTCACTTTTTGAGAAAAATCAGTTTCTTATTTGTTTATGTATTAGTGAAGGATATGGAATGATGTTGCAGTGATTTAAATTAAGTTATGCCTACTATCCCGGCATTCTCCTGGAGGGATTAAGGAAAGCCATTAAAATGTAAGATTTGAGGTTTTCACAGCGGTGAGTATGA